TTCTCACTAAATTTACCGGTGCACACCTCATCATCTCTTAAATATGAGATTTAAACACGTCTTGGACGTTTGTGGGGTAATAATATAGTTGAGTCTGGGTTTAATATCTATATTTTTAAAGATTTTGAAGATGACAGGCTCTGTATATTATTGAGACACTTGGGCTGGGTTGAAGACTGTGAAGTGTAGGGTTGTCGAGGTTGTTGACTGTGAAGGTGGTAGATGATAGTGGTGAGTGTTTATGTGATGATTATGATGATAGGTGTTGCGAGTAATGATGGTTGGTAATGTTGACAGTAGTGAGCATGGCTTTTTTTTTTTTTAGTGATTCGGATGATAATGATGATAATGATGATGATGATGATACCATCAACCAAGAAAAGACAGCCAAGAAAGATGACGCACTCAAGTCATTCCCAACAAATGCGTCGAGCTATTTATGAATCCACTGATTCACATCGTCGCCGCTGCTGAGAAAATTGCAACCATTTCCTCTCTGCAATTAGCCACGAAAGCAACAAGAAGAAGGTGCCTCGTTATTCACATGCCTTCCACAATTCTCCCTCCTATCCTACCCTCAGCACCTCTATTTCTCTCCATTCATCTCTGTCTCTCTCTCTCTATCTCTCTCTCGTTTTTTTTTAGGTTACCCTGCCTCGGTGGGATACGGTGTGTGTGTGTGTGTGTGTGTGTGTGTGTGTGTGTGTGTGTGTGTATTTATAATGCGCTTAACAATTTATGATACGAGAGAAATTATTTACAAACATCACCTCAGACCAGAACAGGACTCAAACCTGCGCACTCTGCATCAAAGTACATAGTATTATACCACACAGCCAGACCTCACAAAAGTATAGAATCCAAGGAGACAGCATTGTGCTCCCGGGTATGAAAAACATCGCTTAGTCTCTGCTGGGCTCCCCATACTTATGTGAGGTCTGGTTATGTTGTATAATACTATACAGAGTGCGTAGGTTCGAGTCCTATTATGGTCTGAGATTATGATAAACGAATTTGGAAAGATATGTAAAAGAAGGAAATTAAAAGTAAAAATAGAAAAGAGTAAAGTGACGAGAGTGAAAAAATAAATCTAGACAATAAAGGATCGGATATCATATTGCAAGGAGAGACAAATGTGTTAAGATATTTGAGATTGGATTTGTCCAACGACAGGTCTTTGAAAAATGAGGTGAATCATGGAAGTGACGAAGGGAACAAGGTAGGGGGTACATTGAGGTATCTGCGGAGACAAAGAACCTTATCCGTGGATGAAAAAAGAAAAGAGGAAATGTACTAGAGTATAGTGGTGCCAACACTCCTACATAGGTGTGAAGCATGGGTTTTACACGTTACAACGAGAAGGCTGGAGGTAGTGGAGATGTGTTTGAAGAGGATGTGAAATGTGAATATCATGCAGAGATTTCGTAGTTTGGAGACTAAAAGGTAGATAGCATAATAGCAGTTTTCTAACCCAGTAGTAAGCATAATATTTTATCGGGTCATTGCAAATTATAATTACACTTTGATAACAATGTATATCAGTGAACTCTTGGTGTGAGGAACTGGCAGCAAGAGCAGACTCAGCCCTTACAGTGAACTCTTGGTCTGGGAAAGTGTTAACAAGAGCAGAACGCAGCCTTCTTTTATTCACAGCAGTGACTCACTTATGCCAAATATCAGATTTTTTTCGTAAATCTATTGAAATTTAATCAGTTAAATTCCAGTCTAACAATATTTAGTAATCAACAGAATCAATACAATTTATAAACCAAAGAACGTGGAATTGTTACAGCAATTAATGGAAATTCTTTTCCAGGATGGCAGAGGCAATTCTTGCTCTGACAACGTATAAGTGGAACATTTAGTTTTAATCACCTGCTGAGCACGATAGTTCGTGCTGAGCAAAGATGCTCAGGCTGAGGATAATACTGTAGTTTCTGCGTCCAGAGTGCAGTCCATAAAATAAAGTTGTTCATTCTGGCGTAAGTTTTAAGGAGGGACTGTAGGAGTTTACATAGAGGTTAGGTGTTTCATATAGAACATTCATAAATTTCGTATTGCAATGCGTAAGGAAGGTGTGATGTGAGGATGACGTGCACCAGGCCCACACCACCGTGAAGAAACACTGCAACGTTCAACGCCTTGTAGATCTGCAGGTGGTCAGTGGATGAACAGTTTTCATGACATTCTAATTTTCACCACCTCGTCAAGACGCTTCCATGAAGGTGCCAGTGACAAAGCAAATATTAATGTGACTGTTATAGCTGTTCTGATTCTAAGAGGAGAAGAATTCAAGACTTCGGCATAGAATTATTAGCAACAGCAACTAATCCTGCAAGTTGACAAAGAAAAGAAATTAAAAATAATCTTCAGATTCCTGAGTACGACCTGTGCAACACCTGTGCAACACCTGTGCCACAGTTAGCTAAAGGGCCACATTCGCTACCTCATTTTGGTGTTAGCACATACTCTCTACGGCATCGCATGTCAGCATTTCCTCCTGACGCGGCAGTAGTCACTCACACCACTAAACAGCTGCTGTTTGACAAAGACCCATGTCAGAATGGTGGTGTTGGTGGCGGTTGTGATTTATTCGTCAGCAGATAAGACAAGTATCCTTGGCACGGGTCTTTTCAGATGAACCGTTAAGTGACTTACGGAACGGACAGGAATCAACCCACGGGAGAGGTAATGACAAAATTACAGAGCCAACGCTTGCTTCCTGAATTCTCTATTATAGTGTCATTACCACTTCTCTGGTCACCAGTTAAGTACATATTCATGAACTAAAATGGGCTATATTTGCGTGTGTATATTTTTCAGGTGATGTTCTCTGACGACTGCATTAACAACAAAACCTCAGATATGCTCTACAATCTTGTACTAGTCAAGAACTGTTACCAATTGTTGGATGACATTATTAGGTTTGATCTCACCCCTTCCCCATCCCGGCAGAAGGCTTGAAATATCGAATTAAGTTTAATATATGATTAAGCGTTGAGGAGAGAGATGAACAGAAACCCAGCAACGATAAACAATATCAAAATCAAATAAGGAAATGACTCAGTATTAGAACGGAGATGGAAATGAAGTAGGTAAGACCAGAACAAAGACGGAACTGACGTAGACAAACCCAGAACAAAGACAGAACTGATAGACAGGGACCCGAGAGAAACAGGACCAAGGCGACACAATGCCTGGAAGAGAAAGCTTGTCAAATTCTGTCCCACAGAGTATCACAATATGAGGCAGTTTTATGCCTGACCTGAAAACTGCTTCTAAAAATACCACAAAGTTTCATATTTTAACCCTGCAGGATCACTGTCATCAGTTTTTTTCCCTCTAGAAAGCGGAATAAACACTTGAAACGGTTGAAGGTTGTGTTATGTACCATATAACCTGTATGTGGGTCACACTCAAGGGAAAACCAGTTAAGTATTCCTGAACTGATAACTCAAGGAGGACGCAGAAACACGTCACACATACGCATATTACATACATACATACACACACACACACACACACATAATAATATTATATATATATATATTATATATATATATATATATAATATTTATATATATATATTATATATATATATATATATATTCCAGGAGCAAGGGGCTAGTAACCCCTTCTCCTGTATATATTACTAAATGTAAAAGGAGAAACTTTAGTTTTTCCTTTTGGGCCACCCTGCCTCGGTGGGATACGGCCGGTGTGTTGAAAGAAACAAAAGAATATATATATATATATATATATATATAATATATATATATATATATATATATATATATATATATATATAATGTGTGTGTGTGTGTGTGTGTGTGTATATATATATATATATCTGTCGTGCCGAATAGGCAGAACTTGCGATCTTGGCTTAAATAGCAGCGCTCATCTTGCCATATAGGACAAGTGAAAATTTGTGTATACAATAATTTCGCCAAAATCATTCTGAACCTAACGAAAAAAAATATATTTCACTGTGTTTGTTTAATATTAAATTACTGTAAACAAATCCAAAATATATTTAGTTGGGTTAGGCTAAAATAAATTGCTCTTGTTATAATAAGGTTAGGAAAGTTTTCTAAGATTATTTTGGTGCAAAATTAATTTTTTTTACATTAACATTAATGAAAAAAATATAAAAATATTTAAACGTATAAGAGAAAATTTCAGAAAGGGCTTAATTTTAAATGAGTTCTTGCTAATTGACCAGTTTTACATATTCGGCACGATATATATATATATATATATATATATATATATATATATATATATATATATATATATATATATATATATATATATGTGTTATATATATATATATATATATATATATATATATATATATATATATATATATATATATATATATATATATAACATGGGGTCCACCTCTGGTGTAAATTGTGGGACCCATACCCTCGGAGAAGTGGATAAAAAGGCTTCAAAGAAGAATATTTGCATTTCTTCCTGAAGCCGTTTGAATATTCCACTTCCCCTCCCATCCCATATATAATATATATATATATATATATATATATATATATATATATATATATATATATATATATATATATATATATATATATATATATATATATATATATATTATATGCAGAATAACCACTGTGAAAAAAAATTGTGAAATTCTGAGGGCTTTCGTGATTTCTATCATTATCATAGTTCCATGATAATGTAAGAAATCACGAAATCGCTGGGAATTTCACTATTTTTTCACATTGGTTATTCTGCATATTGTGATATCACCTGTTTACTGTGATCTTATTGCATACATATATTACAAAAAATTTTGTTCTCGTGTGCGCCATTCAACTCAGAGACTTCGAACATGTAGAGCTATGAACCATATTACTCTGGGTCAAATGAGGTGGTGAGCGATCCAATGAGACATATTCGAGTCCCGTGCCGGACCTGGTGTCCAGTCATATTCAAGGCAGCGAGCTAACACAGCCAAGAATGTAAACTACCTGATTGTTAGTGCATGACGTGCGGCAGCCAGTCCTCTCGTGCATGAAGTTGCAAGCAGGAGAGAATCTCCAAGGAGACGAGAACATTCAAGCAGGTTATAACATACAAGCTGGTGAAGATATACAAACAGGTGAGAACATACAAACAGGGGATAATATACAAGCATGTAATAACATACCAGCAGTATAACGTACAAGCAAGTTATAACATACAAGTAGGGATAACGTGCAAGTAGGTGAGACACAAGCAATAAAAAAACATACGAACAGAAGAGAAAACAATAAAGAGCAGATAGGTGTCGCAATTAGCATGGATGTGTGTGTGTGTGTGTGTGCTACGGATCGATCTTTACAGGAGGTGCCTCAGTGCTAAAGAAAGCCTCTTGATCCAGCGAATTAGAGCTGTCCTCCTGCTAATTCCTGGGTCAAGCCTCCTTGCCTTCTACTCCTCAGACGTTCTGTGACCCTTACGTGCTTAGCACTTCCCATGCATTTCAATAATAATAGTAATAATAATATTAAATAGCACTAGTTAAAGGGAGATAAGCTCTCATAATAATGTCATTGATAAGGAGACATCCAATTTTGAATCCCCTTATTACCTACAGCTTTATTAACAATCAGTACTCTAATAATAAAAATAAATAGTTGCCAACGCCTATAATTCTCTAATAAAATGAAGGCCACGAAGCACAATGAACAATTTATCATACTGAAAAAAATTGATGATTTGAAATCGATTTAATAGATCACGTGATATGTATAAACAAAGCCTCCTCTTCCTCTCCCCCCCCTCTCCCTCTCTCAAGGCCAGCTGGGTGCAGGAGCGTGTATACCCTCTGGCCCGTAGTCAGCTGGTTGCAGCTGGTCCATATTCATTTTAGCTCCAGGTGGTAAGTGGGGAGCAGGGTATTAGAATAGGTTCGTTACTATGTTCTTGGGTACAGAGCACGTAATTATGGCGTACTTCCGGCATTAGTGATGAAAAGACACAGGTTACGGAACCAGCTTTTGTTTGAGGAACGATAATGGCTGTGTGGAGCTTCAACAAATGTTATATTGTTTAATAAAACTCTTCTCTTTACTCTTGCGAACTTGCGAATTGTGTTTGAATTGGATCAACTCTCAACCTCCGACTCTACCTCTTAGGAAGGCAGTTGTGTGTGTGTGTGTGTGTGTGTGTGTATAGCAGGGGTCGCTGGGTAGAGCACTGCACCAGCACCAAGATGGCCTGCGTGTTGCCAAGGAATACACGCCTCCCCTCCCATTCCCATCAACACCTCTCCATTACCGTGTAACACCATCAACGACGGGAAATGGGACCCGAGGTCACGGCTGATGTGACAGTTTTTCTGTCTTGCCAGATTGGAACACTCTTGCTACTTCCTGCTTAGACAAGCGTCAATTTCACGCTTGCGCTCGCGCAATGGATTGCAACCGCGACACACAGGAGGTCCGCCGGTCTGAGTGCTCGTACGCCGGGATTACAGTTATCGAGTGCGTGGTAATGAGTGTTGCTGGCGATATTCTTGAATGATAAGGCAGCCTGGTAACCCAAGTGAAGGAGACACACACGCTACAGAACAGGCTATATTGGTACAGTGTTTCTCTCTTTCGAGATCTTCATCAAGATGGCAAACCAACTTCCCTTGACTACCATTACTTCCCAAACGTGGGATAAATTGACTCGTAAATGTGTGGACACTAAAGATGAAACGACTTCATTTTCTAAAGTTTCCATAGAGCATTAAAACTTTTCAATTTATTCCAATTTGTGGGTATTCACACGCCTGTGTTTACACCCACAGACTCTCAAAGCGGCGAAGGTTCCCCGTGTTTAATCCACTTTGGTAGCCTGAAACTCGCGATCAGCAGACGAAGGATAGTCTGCCACTCTTTCGAAATTAATTTTACTCCCCCGTAACCGGTTTCGAGGTTTTCCTAACCTCGTAGTCCGGCCTGAGACCAGGTTTCAACGTTGCCGTTGGCAGCCCGGTAGTAAGTAGGTACCTGGTTGCGAGCCATCTGTTGCGGGGTCGCATACTGACAGTAAGAGATTTAATAAGTTACATAAAAGCTGGATGACCTTAATAATGTAAACCGCGACATGTTCTGAAATTTGCTTTAAAAATGTACTAGGAAATTCAACATCAAAAAGTTAATATGTGTGCAGGAAAGAGGTCACATTTTTTTTAATATATATAAAAAAAGAAGTTGGGTATACTGGGGTAAGTGTTCAACAACATAAGTTTACTAAACACTTCATAGGAAGACAATTTTAAACGTTTCGAACAGTTGGATCAAGTCAGCGTTTCGCTCATCGTAGGTGGTAAGGAATGTTGAAATATGAAGCTTCGATACGATAGTCTCGTTTCTTTTACACGCTTTTCGAGACAGTGACTTGAGAAAGTTTGTGGATCGAGAGAAACGTCACATTAAGGCATCCACACAACAGTGATGTGTATCATTTCCCCCTGTAACAATTCGCCAACAGAGGAGCTTTGCAAAGACAAAAGTCATTAAAAGCATTAACTGTATCTCGCTGCTTCCACTGTATCAACGACTCCAATCTTTTAGCTCGGTGTCAGCTTAATCAAGATTGATAAAGCTCACTCCTGAGCGAAACGTCATATATAATGAAACTTTTGTATTTAATACCTGTTGTTATACCCCAAGTCACAATCCTGAATGCTTCTCAGTATCCTCGGTCATCTTGAATACTTCTCAGTTCTCAATATTCAGCTACCTTCATATATCTTATAAGGAAGGGAAGGGGAGCCTGTATGCTGCTGAAGGGCTTTTAATCTAAGGAGTCTGACGAAACCTAATTTTTCTCCCATTCCCTGGGTGCTGTATGACCCTTACGGATTTAACGATTCCCCCCATGACAAATGTCCCTCGAGTATCGACATTTACTGTCCGCTTCGCAGGGTCATTCAGACGAGTCAGCGTCCCAGGCGCTCCGTAGTGAAGGGCATTTAAATGTCTGTATGAATGAGGTTCGCCATTGTTTACATGTTACAGACTTGTAGAGATGATGATTTTAATTATTATTGTTATTTTAATTACTATTATTATTATGGCTATTAAATACTGAGTAGTAAAGTGGTTTGTCTCGCGCTTGACGGAAGGATGATGGCACCTTCACCGTTCCTTGCGATATTTAACCATCATGAGTGTGACCCGTTTTATGATTAATTTTTTTATATCATCGTTTTTGCTGGTGCTGAATGACACATGCGAATTTAATTTTCTTAAATAATAATAAGATAGTTCATCTGGATTCTCCTAGGTGCTAGGACGAGGGTGGTACCAAACCTCGTCCCAGCACCTCTGCTTGGTTTCTGTAGCGCTTATTGACTAAAGTACTATGGTAGTCACACCGTTACCTCAGGCTAAGCCAGTGAATACTGCTAGTTAGGCGTGAATACTGCTAGTGTCGTGTAAATATTCCTAGTTATGTGAGCACTGCTAGTTATGTGTGAGTAATTATTATGTGTAAGTAATTCTCGTTATTAGGTAAGACACATATGCAACAGTTAGGAATCTTTATTTCGAAACGTTTCGCCTACACAGTAAGCTTCTTCAGTCGAGTACAGAAAAGTTGATAGAAGCAGAAGATACTTGAAGACGATGTAATCAGTCCATAAGTCTTCAAGTATCTTCTGCTTCTATCAACTTTTCTGTACTCGACTGAAGAAGCCTACTGTGTAGGCGAAACGTTTCGAAATAAAGATTCCTAACTGTTGCATATGTGTCTTACCTAACAACCAGTCGGTATTTTATACCATTTTAATGTTCAGTTCTCGTTATGCATGAGTACTGTTAGTACTGTGTGAATACTGCAAGTTGTGTGATTGACCAAGAAATTTTGATTTTACCTTTCAGAATTTGTGAACTTAATGAATATTTAATATGGGAATCACAGATGTTTTGAAATAGGAATTGACATTTGTAAAAAAAAAAGAAAAAATGAAGCCGCGAATATTCTTAGTTCTTTGCGAGCACTGCGAATACGACTCAAGAAATCGTAATGACACTGCTGGTCACCATGTGTGAGAGGGGTAACTGCTTTGTAGGTTACCATGTGTTGCTTCCTGAGTACACGACCCTGGCAACGAGAGCTTGCAAAATGATCGACCTTTTTCCTTCGAAATTTAGGTAGAAGTGGTGGGAACTTTCTCACGGTAGCACTGGGTCTTATATCATGTTTAGAGACAGTGGTATGTGTGTGTGTGTTGTGTGTGTGTGTGTGTGTGTGTGTGTGGGTGGGTGGGTGGGTTTTATTCCACTCTATCACCTTACAGATTCAGTTCGAGTCCAGTGGTTGCTACTGTTATCCCACCTCTGGTCAAAAATTACCGTATCTTCGAATGTGTATTCCTGAATCTCGCCTTCCACAACACCACCGTCCACAGCAATGCATGGATAGGATTGTTTATTTTTTTTTCTCTCGTTCCAGCACTGAGCTAGTGGCACCCCTAAGACGTGTGTTAGAGGATTTTTTCCCTGGCGTTAACTCGTTAGGGAAGGTTCTATGATAGCGAGGGGTTCTCATTTCCACAGGCGCTCTGTGAATTTGTTTTCGCTTCTATCTATAATAATAAAAACTGATGTTAAACTACAATCCTTATCCATCTGATTGATAGGGATTCAAGTTTGGCTTTTGTCAAGTATACAATTCATAGGATCATAACGTTTTATTGAATCCTCTTCCAGTTTTCAATCATATGAATCTTTTAGATGTAATTCCTGTATCGCTTCCTCACCAGTCCGAACTTTTGCCCTGTTGTTGATATTAAAGAATTTGGATTGTTTATTTAATATCTTATGAACTGCGATGGCATCACATCTGCTCCTGTTTTTTCGAGTCTGTCAGCGAAACCAATTTCAGTACCGTTTTGTGTCTACTACCGAGACCAATTTCAGTATCATCACGGGTCTACCAGCTCTTTTAGTAGTTTTTCATAGTATCACATAATTTTTAACACCTGAATTTATTTTGTTAATGCTTTTGAATTTTTCCTGTTTAATCTAAGGCCTTCAAAGAGGATGCTTTGATGCTGGTAAAATGTCCTTCATCCAAAAAATTAGAATGCATGTGACCTGT